TCCCTGAATTCCTCATTGACAATGGACCTGATGCAAGTGATTTACGTGAACATATAATTGGTGTCTCCCTGAACTCCTCATTGACAATGGACATGATGCACGTCTTTAACGTGAACATATAATTGGTGACTCCTTTACCTGCTCATTGATAATGGACCTGATGCACGTGTTTTATGTTAACATATAATTTGTGACTCCCTGAATTCCTCATTGACAATGGACCTGATGCAAGTGATTTACGTGAACATATAATTAGTGACTCCCTGAACTCCTCATTGACAATGGACATGATGAAAGTGTTTTACGTGAGCATATAATTTGTGACTCCCTGAATTCCTCATTGACAATGGACTTGATGAACGTGTTTTATGTTAACATATAATTGGTGACTCCCTGAATTCCTCATTGACAATGGTCATGATGCAAGTGTTTGACATGAACATATAATTGGTGACTCCCTAAACTTCTCACTGACAATGGACCTGATGCAAGTGTTTTACGTGAACATATAATTGGTGACTCCCTATACTCCTCACTGACAATGGACCTGATGCCGTGTTTTACGTAAACATATAATTGATGACTCCCTGAATTCCTCATTGACAATGGACTCCCTGAATTCCTCATTGAGAATGGACCTGATGCAAGTGTTTTACGTGAACATATAATTGGTGACTCCTTTACCTGCTCATTGAAAATGGACCTGATGCACGTGTTTTATGTTAACATATAATTTGTGACTCCCTGAATTCCTCATTGATAATGGACCTGATGCACGTGTTTTATGTTAACATATAATTGGTGACTCCCTAAACTCCTCACTGACAATGGACCTGATGCACGTGTTTTATGTTAACATATAATTGGTGACTCCCTGAATTCCTCATTGACAATGGACATGATGCAAGTGGTTGACGTGAACATATAATTGGTGACTATGTGAACTCATTGACAATGTACCGGCAGGGGAATCATTAGAACTTCATTACAAAGTCATAACTGGTCACGTGATAAATGACTTCCTGGAACTGAGTCATTTTCAATCTGCAAGTGGCCAAACCAATGCAGACATTGATGTTGACTAGTCAAGAGAAATGTCATTCATTAAGGCGGTACATGCTTGAGGAAATACAGAAAATCTACAGTTTTTGCTACTCCCGCATCAAAAGAGGATCATGTTTTTCTGCATTTAAAGTTTTGTTGTTCTTCTTGGTTAAATTGATGGCAAACAATAGTTTTTCATTGGGGAAAAAGGAACTGTAATCCTTGATGGTACCTATATAGTGCTGATGACCCTCTTTTAAGAAAACCATACACTCGGCAAAAGTAACATACCTACGTCAAGTTCATGAGCGTCGTTTTTCGCTACTGAAATCATAGAAATCGTTCAAAGAGGAACTCAAAAATTCCTCATCATCAAAGAGGAAGCAGTAACAGCTTCTTTGAATGATGTGCCTGGGCCAAACTTGATAGGAATTTGGGTACCGTCGCTTTGTTGGGAACATGCAATCCCGTTTGACACTGCTCAAAGAAGCCAATGACTGCGACCTTTCTATGCTATATAGTCAACTGGGTGAAGCTCTCCATACTTCATATATCTAGAGGTAGTAACATGCAGATGATGTTAGTAAAAAATAGCGCAAAGGTACAATGTAGAACATCTGATAAATCGTGGCAAATTTAAAATGTGGCTCGGTCAGCATGTTGAAAACCTCATCCGAAGTCTAAACTACACAAATCATAAACAAAATATGATCTTTGTGTTGCTTTTGACTTAAACGACCAGGATGGGATTTGTGCATATGATGCATGCGTTAAGTATTTCTAAAGTCAAGTACGTAATCAATAACACATCTTTCCAGTCCAAGCGACACCCAAATTCAATCAAGCTGTATTCAAAATGCGAATTTCATAATTCAAGGCATTTACTGCAAACCTGGTCACAAAACATTTTGTAACTTTCAGATATAAAAACCGTCACTTCGTTGACCCCATTTACCGTCATCAATATTTATTTCATAATTCTGCTGACTAAACCTGATAAATTCAATTCTAAAACAAAATTAATTCATGTGCCATTGATTGCAGGTCAAGGTCAGCAATATTAACCAAAATTATATCTATTCACATAAACAATCTACTTATCAAATATTGTCAAACTCATGAACTTTTGGTTATGTTGAAAAATATGCTTTTAAGCAAGTATGAAAAACAGACTTTATTTAGAAATTTGAAATTAACGTGTGTGGCAATTATCTCATTATTAATGAAATTTCTCATGCATTTCGACAAAAGTCTTTGCCAATCCCTATAGTAGCCAAGAGCTGCATCCTGTTTATGAACACCGGTTAGGGCTTGAAATGGCTTGATGATGTCAGAGGATGTGGTAATACAGCATTCGTAGTTCTTCTATGGTCATTTTTCCTCTTATATAGTGTATCGACGGAAACTGAGCGACTCAGTTCACATTGGTGAATGTTGTTGAAATGAAGATTCAATCAATAACACTTTTTCGATGATTTTCTGTGACATTGTTACTATTTCCACTAGAAATATGTGACTGCATAGAGGTAACCTAATTATGTCATCCAAATATAAGGTAGTTTTCATTCTTTCCGCTTAGATAATTTTTTGGTTCATAATTGCAGATTTTCTGTACGAATGGAAAGTTCTCAGATATATAAAGTAATTGAGAAAACTTAATGATATCGGCTTTTATTGCTTCTGCCTTGCAATAGATTATGAACGGCCGAGTCATTTACTGAAATTTCCAATGTTAGTCTATTTCTTTCGCTCTAGAATGTTTGACTATAACCATTTTTTTTGTCTGTTCTGTATTCTCCAATTTCACCTTAGGGCATTTTTATAATGACAAATGATAGGTCGATGGCCTTTTGGCGTGCGTGTATTGAAGCAGGTTTGGTAGATAGAGCTGACTAAATCCATTCTGACAAATTGCCATTTCACGCACGTCTTTGTTATATCATTCCTCTTGGATACACTTTTATCAGTCCTATCGAGATCCTCAGGGTCATAAATCTTCACGTGTTACATGCGATAAAACCTTGCTAGAACTGGCGTCTATTGTCCGAACAGTCAGTGTTAGACGGAGTAAAATGCAAGGCGTTATTTTATTGATCTTACAAGATTAAAATTTTTATCAGAACTCTTAATAACTTTTATCTGTATCTAACATTATAATCTTTGTGTCATATGATTCTTAACGTTTTTGATGCTTTTTTTGCCTGTTTGCTTGGTAGTTATATATATTATTTTCTCATTTGAGAACGTGACATTTCTTACTCGGATAGACCAAGATTTATATGACGGGTGTCGTCAATGAAGCAGAAAACGCTTACTCTTCTGAAACACCTTGCCTTATTTTCCTTCTTTTGTGGATATTTTGTCCTAGTGTTATTAATTTGAGTTTGGATTATGATTATGTTGACATGTCAGTATTTTCGTGAAGTGTCATTTTGTGAACATACACGTAAATAGCATTAGGGTCTGGTTCCAAGTTCCGTTTTCTACACGATTATAGGGTCTGGTTCCCAATTCTATTTGAACTCTTAAACGGAATCAGGAATAAGGAACCAGTTTCATACCCCAAAACACATGGTGGGAAAATGTGAAACATCAGCAGGTGTCGAACAGTGTGGAGGCGACTTGACCAAACGCTTATCATGAAAGTTTGCCAATAAGTATTGTAGTTTGTAATTATAATAACTAAAGTCAATCTTTTTGATAATGAAATGCTGGCCTGATATCATATATCTTATTATCAAAGGTAAATAATATACGGAAAGTAGGTTCACAGAAACCAAAGAACATGGACAAGTTTATTGTATTCTACCACACATCCATTACATGTGGTTACCATAACATTTCTGAAGTTTACAAACAGCTAATCAATATAATGTTGATACACCTAGATGGATCTTTTTGTGATGGATGTGTTTTTTGTTTTTGTTGTTTCAATCTTTTAACATTTTGTTTTATTCTAACTACATATGCAGAGTATTTGATAAAAAATATACTTGAAAAGACTGTACAAAAGACACACAAGTAAATAACATCTTTTCAAAGTTTAGAGTAATATACAGAGTCAAACAATAAATTAAACTGCATCATACAGCTGTTTCGTCCATTTAGGACTCGTCTGTTATAATAAGGGCCTACATTTGGAAGCCTAAGATGCGACTAAGTAAAATACAAACTGATAAGAAGAAAAGTCCAAATCTAGAGGAGGAGGTGCAGCAAGCAGCCCCCTGAGTAAATAAATTTCGTTATTTTCATACATCAGATAATTCGATGAAAGCGTCAAGTACATGTTTACCACTATCCGAGTGAATTAAAAAATACATGGCATTTATCAATTTGTATTGTCAATATGAACGATTAATTTCCCTAGAAACCTATTTCGCTGATACATTTGTTGTTAGGTTTCTGCCGGATAATGCTGATTTAGTTGGCAAGCTGTGTGTTCAAACCAAGAATTCAATTTAGCATTCAAAAGTAAATAAGCAATGCATTTACTTATTGCACATTTGAAAAAAACCTGATTAACTGAACAATTTATTGAAATTGTGAAAGGTGAATGAGCCTTAGAAATCATCTAATATAGAATAGTTATGATAATATATATAATGACTAAACTCTCGAGATAATATCCACGTTAAAATAAGATATTTATTAGAGACAGTGTCTATATAAAAGTGGTTATATAAAATATACCCGTGAAACACTTGTTGATTCCGACAATACTGATTTAACTTACAGTAGTGGGATCGCATAACGTTACACGATGTCTGCACGATGTGCGCACAATGTCTGCACGATAAAGTTTGAAGAGATTGTCATGAATGATTCAAGAAAGCTGGATAAACAGAAGGAAATGTTTACGTGTGCTATGTAACACAAAGCTAAAGCGAACCATTTGGCTATGAAGAAGAAACATTTCGCGCTTAATGTACTATTCTAGCTATGACAATTGATAATACCTGGATTAATTCTGGTACAGAGGAAGTTGGAGTAAGCATTTCCTTGTCAAAGCAGGCAGTGTAGTTAGTCCAGGTCTGGTTAAAAACAGGATGAACATACCAACGTCCCTCAGGCATGCAGAACCTTGTGGCAGCATCTAAATGGGGGGAAACATAGAAAAATAGAAAAAAGACCAAAGTCGTTCATCTATGTATGTTCAAATTTTCTATTCCATATCATATCATAAATGTGTTGATAACAGGTTTACCAAATATTAAAACACCTTTCTTGGTAATATCATACCAAATTCAACTACATATCAAATGATATAAGGTACCTCTGAATCACGTACACATAAACAAGCAATGATTTTGATGATGTGTCAAATTTGGAATTGTTTATAAGTCATTTTCACGGTAATATTCATACAAATACAACCTCAATTTATAGAACAGTATACAGCATCATGATTCATAATATTTCAAACCTTTCTGTATAAATCTCATTTGTATCAATCGTTGTTTCCCGATCATAAATATTAATAATGTATTGATTGATACTGATAATGACTGGCTGCCATATGGCGCTTATTCCATTGTAAAGGAACGATTGAGGGTGTAGCACGTGCTACATGCACCTGTTATATCACGAGCAATGACGTACGGGCAAACACCAAACACCAACTTCTCACGACGTAATCCAAAGTGGACATGACTGTTTCTTTGATGTGCCTACCTTTGTTAACATCGTCAAAGGTTAGTTAACATCTGTACCAATCAAATGTGACAGAGAGGTGGAGAACCTTGTGTAATCGAAATATGCAATTTACGGATGGTATGTCAATAAACAACTGTTGAACAACATGCCACAAGCCATACCATAAATTGTACAAAGGACACAGAATTGATTAATACCATGTGTGCCTTACAAGCAGATACAGAATTGTCAAAAAGAAATTACAGCTAACTGTTGCATTTGGTTTAGCTTATATTGCTTAACGTCCTTACAAAGTTCGGGTCATTTATGAAACGCATTTCGATGTACAAAAGAATTAATGTATGCGAGGTTTATGAATGTGTAGCGTTCGTATGTTTTTGGGTAGGCTGCGATATGTTCGTGTAAGTGAACTTGTGCTAATGCGTAAATGATGCCAACGTTACAGTAAAACCACAGTGAAGTTTTCCCAAAAGTGCACCTCGCACGGTCACATCATACGGACGAAAGAACAAATAGGGATACTTCCACACTTCTGGGCATTAAGCAGGAAGTATCAGCTACCGTGTGTGAAGAATGTGATCTCTCGGAAAAGAGATATAACTAAAAGTATTCGGCACAAGAGGTAGAGTCAAGAGAGACTTTAAGAAGAAATATGTCTTTAGAAAAAGAGAGCACGACAAGCAAGCAATTTCTGTCACGAAGATGTATATATTAATAGCTTACACAAATCTCCAATGGGGCCGTACTTCGGCAGATGTTTGCTACAAAACTTAATTAACATCTGCTGAACTTTCACAATCGAGCACTGCTTTTCTGCCTTAGAATTAACTTGGCATCTGAAAATGACTTCTTTTTCTTCTTCAAATTGATGACAACGTCTATGTCGATTATGTTTTGTTAAAGCTGACCTTATAAGTGTTATCTAGTATCACTGCTGGGTAAAGGTACTGGGCATGCTTGTGCATTTAAGCACGTGGTAAGAACTTTCCTAATGCCTGATGATTATAAGGATGTGCTACAGGTATCCTTCCTTTCTAAGTCCTGATACCATACTGTACCTACTGCCAGGATTATTAAGAAATGCTAATTTTTGTAACATATGTATGTTAATTAAATTATCTACTAAAGTACTTCTCAATTGTAATTACATTTTCTAGGTGATCTCATATCTTGCTGCTAGATCCAATCGTTATACCTGTCAGAATGAAACTAAGTAATGTTTAAGCCAGTGAACTTTGACCCTTTAACTGGTCTCAGAAACCTATTAAACTTAAATGAAATATCCGACCCCTGTAGATATGGCATTATCTCGCAAACTGTTTCAATTGAAAAATTATACAAAAGTGAATAGCACATTTAAGTCTAGATAAAAAACAGTAGAGCCAAACAAAGACGTAAACTGCATCATACCGATGTTTCGTCCTCCTAAGACTAGTCAGAGATCCTAAGTGACTAAATTTTAAACCTATAAGCGATCGAGGAAAATCAAAATGGGTTCCAAAGAATAACAAAATCTAGATGGGTATGTGCACTTTCCACAATAAATCGCCGAAATAACGTCAAGTATATATGTGTATATTCTGAACCGTTCATTATTCGTATGGATTAAAATGTGGCATGCAAGTTACAGCAAACTTCAGGGACTGATGGTCAACCAGACGAATTCACCATCTACAACCTCCAAGATTGTACAAAACAAGCAAGTTCCTATCAGCTATTGACCTAGATATAGATAAAACACGATAAAACAAGGATTTGAAGGCGATTGAGGAAAATCCAAAGTGTTCAAATTTCAAAATCTAGATGAAGAGTAGCAATATCCTCAAAATTCAATAAATTTCGTTAAATTCATTTATATAATAATTTTGGACTAACTTTAATTATAAACATTCCTAATATTGTATCTGAGGTTGACAATGACTACATTTCTGATTATGGGTGTACATACAGATGTAGTAAACAATTTCATGTTTTATTGGATTTCAGCCTTTCATGTCTAGCTTTAAATATATACATTTATAACTTTACAATCGCCGATTTTCTCTTTCGCCTGAAAACCCTAGACTTCTCTACAAAGCATGAGCTCCATTATAAAATACAAAATCAGCGGAAACAAAAATTACAAAATTCTGCGTCGTTTGTTCGGCGGAGGGAGCATTGTGGTATGGAGTAGCATTATAACGTATAGAAGGCTCTCCTTTTATAATGGAAGCCATCTCGCCTATCGCGCACTACGCAATAATACGTTATTATGTTCTTACAGTTAACATAGTCCGGGTCACATCATTTACTGTGACGAAATTATACGTTATTATGTTTACAGTTAACATAGTCCGGGTCACATCATTTACTGTGACGAAAAAATACGTTATCATGTTTACAGTTAACATAGTCCGAGTCACATCATTTACATTTAACATAGTCCGGGTCACATCATTTACTGTGACGAAATTATACGTTATCATGTTTACAGTTAACATAGTCCGAGTCACATCATTTACAGTTAACATAGTCCGGGTCACATCATTTACATTTAACATAGTTCGAGTCACATCATTTACATTTAACATAGTCCGGGTCACATCATTTACAGTTTACATAGTCCGAGTCACATCATTTACTGTTAACATAGTCCGGGTCACATCATTTACTGTGACGAAATAATACGTTATCATGTTTACAGTTAACATAGTCCGGGTCACATCATTTACTGTGACGAAATAATACGTTATCATGTTTACAGTTAACAAAGCCCGGGTCACATCATTTACTGTGACGAATTAATACGTTATCATGTTTACAGTTAACATAGTCCGGGTCACATCAATTACTGTGACGAAATAATACATTATCATGTTTACAGTTAACATATTGCGGGTCACATCATTTACTGTGACGAAATAATACGTTATCATATTTACAGTTAACATAGTCCGGATCACATCATTTACTGTGACGAAATAATACGTTATCATGTTTACAGTTAACATAGTCCGGGTCACATCATTTACATTTAACATAGTCCGGGTCACATCATTTACTGTGACGAAATTATACATTATCATGTTTACAGTTAACATAGACCGGGTTACATCATTTACTGTGACGAAATAATACGTTATCATGTTTACAGTTAACATAGTCCGGGTCACATCATTTACTGTGACGAAATAATACGTTATCATGTTTACAGTTATCATAGTCCGGGTCACATCATTTACATTTAACATAGTCCGGGTCACATCATTTACATTTAACATAGTCCGGGTCACATCATTTACATTTAAAATAGTCCGGGTCACATCATTTACATTTAACATAGTCCGGGTCACATAATTTACATTTAACATAGTCCGGGTCACATCATTTACAGTTAACATAGTCCGGGTCACATAATTTACATTTAACATAGTCCGGGTCACATCATTTACATTTAACATAGTCCGGGTCACATCATTTACTGTGACGAAATTATACGTTATCATGTTTACAGTTAATATAGACCGGGTTACATCATTTACTGTGACGAAATAATACGTTATCATGTTGACAGTTAACATAGTCCGGGTCACATCATTTACTGTGACGAAATAATACGTTATCATGTTTACAGTTATCATAGTCCGGGTCACATCATTTACATTTAACATAGTCCGGGTCACATCATTTACATTTAACATAGTCCGGGTCACATAATTTACATTTAACATAGTCCGGGTCACATCATTTACATTTAACATAGTCCGGGTCACATAATTTACATTTAACATAGTCCGGGTCACATCATTTACAGTTAACGTAGTCCGGGTCACATAATTTACATTTAACATAGTCCGGGTCACATCATTTACTGTGACGAAATAATACATTATCATGTTCTTACAGTTAACATAGTCCGGGTCACATAATTTACTGTGACGGAATTATACGTTATCATGTTCTTACAGTTAACACAGTCCGGGTCACATAATTTACATTTAACATAGTCCGGGTCACATCATTTACAGTTAACATAGTCCGGGTCACATCATTTACATTTAACATAGTCCGGGTCACATCATGTACATTTAACATAGTCCGGGTCACATCATTTACTGTGACGAAATAATACATTATCATGTTCTTACAGTTGACATAGTCCGGGTCACATCATTTACATTTAACATAGTCCGAGTCACATTATTTATATTTAACATAGTCCGGGTCACATCATTTACATTTAACATAGTCCGGGTCACATCATTTACATTTAAAATAGTCCGGGTCACATAATTTACATTTAACATAGTCCGGGTCACATCATTTACAGTTAACATAGTCTGGGTCACATAATTTACATGTAACATAGTCCGGGTCACATCATGTACATTTAACATAGTCCGGGTCACATCATTTACTGTGACGAAATAATACATTATCATGTTCTTACAGTTAACATAG